CTCTGAAGCAACGCGGTCACAAGAGCGGCTATGGGACCTCGGACTTCCCCCCGCGTGAGGTTTAGCTTGCTGGCTTGGCTGTTAGCTTTCAGGATCTTCTTGACCCGCTCGGCCCTGGCGAAGGCCTTCTTCAATCTACCTTTGGCAACCTTCGTAGATCGCCGTCCTGAAGCAAAATCAAGTCCGAGGTCTCTCGTCTTGGTGGTCAGCTGGATATGGATATCAGCCTTCTGGAGGGCCTTGTGGATCCCTTGGGCCAGGGACTTATTGCTACCGAGGAGCTGGGACTTTCCTGAGAGACGGAGACCTCGGGCTCTCATGTGGTAAACCAAGTCGATGGCGCCCTGGGTGGTGAGCCGATGCACGATGGCCTTGGGGCCTCTGGAGGACAGGGAGATATCGTCGACCCAGGTGCTGATCTCCATGGGCCTGCATCGTGCATGCGCCGCGTCTAGCATGTCATGTAGGTACGCGCGCGCCCAGCTCACACTCTGCATGCACCCCTGGAATACGGGGCGCCCGACCGAGATAAAGTCTGAAGCCTCGCGCCCTAAGATGAGGACCCTATCTGCGGTGTGCACGCACATGCCCATGTACATGGTGTGTAGTGGGTAACCGATGCTTTGCCTAGGGTATATATCCAGATTGGGGCTGAGCGCGTCGAACAAAAATTTTCCGCATCTAGGAGCAGGACGGCCCCGTCGACCGAGATCCAGCTCGCTGCTTCGGCCTTGGCGCGCCTGAGGAGGGCCGCCTTCAAAGGGTCAGAACCTCGTACGGCTGCATCCCAGAATCCTGCTTTCTGTTTCTCCCAGGTGGCGACAGCTTCTTTCCTGAGTCGGGACCAGGTGCGGTACAACCCTTTGGTCCGAGTGATGGGTCTGCCCCCTTCCCCTGTGGGTTTGGGACGCATGCCAACTTCATTCAACAGGATCTGCTCTGGCCACGCGCAGGTGCGCTCGATGTCCTGCAAGAGACCGACTAATTCATCGCGCGCCTCTTCAGGTAGAGCGGCCCAGAGCTTGGGGTTCCACTGGTCGGCCCCCATGCCCATAGAACTCGGGAAGGCCTGGCACGCTGCCAAGACCTGTGGGGCTTGAAGTTCAGACAGTTCAGGTACCTGGGCCTGCGCTTCCTGCCGAAAAACTTGCCACCAGCTCTGCGTAGAGGGATGCCCTTGGCCTCCAGGGTCCTCCCAGAGTGTCTGCCACCGGGTCTGCTTGGTCTTCAGAGCCTCCGAGAGGTCCCATAGTGGGTCCCCTTCCGCGTCCAGCTCTTGGGCTGGTATGGCCTCTGGGCGGCCCCATGTGGCGGTATGTCGATGGGCCCACTTGGCCCCCCACCTCGGAGGCTCTGGGAAAGCCACTCCTGGAACCCAGCTCGTTCATCCCTAAACTTCATGATCGGCACGGTCTCGGATAGCCTTACACACTTCTTGGCCAAGTCTGTAATGCCGTCCTGGGACAGTTGGGGCATCTGCTGGGCCTGCATCTGGATGTCCTGAATGTCTGAGGCGATCTGGATGAGGTCCTCCTGAGATCCCTTTGGGACATGATGCTCCTGGATACTTCCGAGTTTGGCCTGGATGAGCTTCCCACCCTGTTGGCGTTTTGAAGTCTTCCCTGGGCTCTCCTTACCGATGCGGAGTCCATGAAAGTCCTGAAGCCGCGCAACCATACATTTCCAAAAGGCGAGCTTATGCATGCCCCCATGTTGTCCGCTTTGTTTGGCTGGTGGCATGGCAGGTCTCATCGTCAGGCCTGGAGAGCAGCCGCGGTGGTGCGCAAGGTCGCGCACGCCAACAAGCTTGGACTTGCGAAGCTCCTCAGCTGCACCTGAAAAGAGAGCATGCCTGTCAATGAGAGCTGGATCGGTACAGGGTTCGGCAGTGAAATACTCTGTTCGGGGCCGGCTTGGAAGTCGAGCACGAGCTTTCTCCAGGAAGACTTCCCAGGCCAGCGTAGGCCCTTGCACGTCCAGGGGAAGCGGTACTGGCTGAGTGAGGACTTGCATCTGCGGTTCCCTGAATGTTCCTTCCAAGCTGTCGCGAATGCCAAGATGTGGATGGGCCCATGGCCCCTCTAGGTCATACTCCAAGGTCAGGTCAGGGACAAGGTGGGAAGAGACCAGTCCGAAGTCGATCACCCGCTTGCCGAACTCCCGAGAGGCCCCTTCTGGAAACACAAACCTGGCGTCAAGGTAGTCCTCGATCCCAGACTCCCGAACCTCCGACACTTCCATGTTCCAGTCGGCTGGGAGGATGAAGGGGGCCCCAGTTGCCTGGATGTTGCTAACCATCTCCTCTAGCATCTGCATGTTATCCCCCGAGAGGCCCTTCCCGCAAGCGAAGTAGGCGGAGAGGAAAAGGAGCGTGTGGCCATG